CTTTTCTTTACAATAAGGCTTTCAAATAAGTCATGGCTGTACGGCAGTGAAGCATTGGTGTTGAGCACTGATGTCATGCTGTCGTTGAGGATGAAGATGCTTAAGTGCATAAGATCGGTAGATACCATTTCGACGAACCGAGCATCACGTGGGCGTCTCGAAATTGGGGGCGCGATGGCTCAGTGGTTAGAGCACGAACTTACTAGCCAGGAGGTCCGTGGTTCAAATATGACTTCTGGCTCTCGACTCACTTGTCTAGGCTTGGGCAACCTGGCAGTATCCCAGCCCTCGTGCTACATGACAGCTAGGCACCTAGAGGGTCTTACAACTGAGCGATTGTCTGTATCGTTATCTCTGCCTGTCTCCAAATTGGTTGCCTGCCTCCCTACTACAAACCTCGATATCTTTCCCTCAAAAGTGAACAGGTTTTATACTTAACGGGGTCAGATATTCGCATCTGTTTGTAGAAAGCGAAGGATACGCTAGAGCCTTATTCATTATGCCCAAGAACAAAATCAAGGTAGATTCGAAAACAACGGTGAATTATAACTGTGATTGGTCACAATGATCTGGATGTGTGGTCTGTCTGACTAAAAGTTCGCCCAGATCGCTCACGGTACAATAATAGGGTTAGTAATGGAGCGACTCTAGTTGTGAAGGCAGGAGTGGTGGTCACATAAGGCCTCAAGAACATAGTCTTCATGCAAGTGTAAACGGTTAATAAAATAAACGTCTGGCAGGATCGTAGCAGGTCTAAAGATTGCGCCAACTGTTCCCTGTGTGGCACAATAAGTGGCTCTCAGAAGCACAACCGACGAAATTTCTATTGCTCATTAGTCAGTTGTTGACCACACAACACCTCGAGCTCAGATACGGTTGGATGTCAATGCCAGCTGGCCCATTTCGTATTCCGGAAATCCCCGGTAAACCCTCAGTATCGATCACGTGACCTATTTATGTGTGAAACAGAGTAATTCGGTCAAAATGAGACGCGAAGGAAACTGTAGGTAAGTTAAGTTGCCACCGACGTGACACAACAGATTGTCTGTCACAGGTAGAATATAAACTGCGATAGTGCGACCCACAATACCTTACGGATCAGCAACGTCGCCTCTACGGGCAGAGGAAGTACGAAAGCTCTCGACGTCCGAAAGACTCTCTGCAATGGATGAATTACTCACGCCTCATAGTTTACGCTGTTTAGGACCGTCTGCCTCGCCGGGCCCCTTCCTCCCAGCTCTGTGCTGAGTGGAAGAAACTGAGAGGTTGGCAATCTATCAATTGGAAACGAAGTATGAAAACACAGTTCGGTTTGACATATGCTGCCTCCCTGGATAGGGACCACGGGGCTCAAATCACCAGTGGTTAATAACATTGGCATACATGCCTCACGCAGTCAGTGACGCTCGTCCATCAAAGTTACCATGCGTAGCAGCCTAACTGGTCACACCAACGTTTGCAGCGCTTGGCTATATAGCTCACTCCTACATTCTGGTGACCCAAAGTGTAGAATCTGAAACCAATAACCCTTGGTACATGGTTTATGGCTGATAAACTGAACTGACTGGTTCAGCATGCTTGGTGGTAACGCTCGTTTTGCACAGCAGACGAGCAGATTTGGACATGGCTGAGAATATCCACTGCTGATGAACCGTATTGAAGGTACAACTGGAATACTGTGTGTGTGTGTATGAACTAATCCGAGCAGCAGTAAGACTTCTCAGGGCATAATGATGCAGAAGTCATCTCGACAAACCCTGGAACTACCGAAGACTCACCGGGATTTTTAATTCAGAAACTAACGAAATTGCATATCCTTCATTACGACCACCAGATCACAGATCACACTAAATGTCCATAGCATGAATCAATACCAATTTCGTGATCCGGTGCGGCACAGAAAGGTTGTGTTAGGTGTACTCTATGGAAACGGTTTGACAAAACGTAATAAGAGCCCCATGGACCAGGGTGTGCCCGAGTTCAAATAAGACGGAATTTACAACAAACCACAATCTCAGACTTACAATTTCCATTTCCAAACCTTGCGTGTCACATGAAGCATCGGTAAGTGACAATGACGGTGCAATTACGGGTGGTGACTGGATGTCCACGAGAACTTCCATTGGCGATTGTGCCCGATCCAAAAGAGTCACGCTAGCTGGATGAGGGCTTTCCCCTTCGGTAACCTGATGAATGAGTGTTGTGTCCATATTCTCTACCGCAGACTGTATGTCTGACCGGATGTTGTCTAGGCGCGTCGGAAGACAACGAGATTTGGATGAGGCCACATCTAGCAACTGGACGTTCTCCACCACGCCACTCATTCTCTGCGGATCGAGATCAACATTGTCGAACAAGGTCATGCCATGAGACATCTCCACACCCGTGTCATCCATTGTGGAGAGGAGACTCGGTAGAGAGTGGCGACGCTGCGAAGTAGAGCACAATTGGTGATATATGTAAATATGATAGAGTAATTTGTGAATACTCCAGAGAACACCGCGAATACCAAGTTAGACTGAGAATCTGAATATTTGTAGCTCGGTTGCGTTTACTGGTAGTTGATTAGCTCGCCGAGCTTGGCAACTAGCATGCAAACGTTTGCCACCAATCAGGGAGACATCATTAGTGCGCGCAGTGAAGCTTGCGAGTTGATGGGCAAGCTCTGCGAACAGATCAACAAGCATCTAATCAACTACCAATGAAAGCACTGCCTTGCACTCATCGCCGAAGTGATAACAGAGTTCCAACGTACCATAATTAATAAGTAGAACCGTCACAGCAAATACTCAGTATATTGGTCTCCAGCCAAAAGGCCAATCACAATAAGTAATATCTACCTCAAGATTTGACAGGATGATGAACTCAACCAAACGACGACAAAAGCCATCTTGAGGTTTACTTTCTCAGACTACATTGGTCGCTGGTTTACGCATTTGGCCACCACGGCAGATAAGTTATTTTCGTCGAATAAAGTACACAACGCTCGAAGATGGATCCTTAACTGTTCCGAATCCCATTATAAAAAGTCACATATTGTTGACAAACAGACAAACAGATGGATGCAAAGGTACTCCGAATAGTAAAGGAAGAAAACAGTATGGAGCCACAAGTGGCCAAACAGAATTGGGAAAAGAGAACACCTATCACGGCATTTGATGACCTTACCTTCGGTTTGGGTTCCGATCCTGGCTGCGGACAGTTGATAAAGTCCCACGTTTCGGTGTTCACAGCCTGATCCTTGAGCTCGATCTGAATTGGCTGTGGTTGAATAAAATGTACGTATGATTGGAAACCGGAGGAAAAGTAGCGGAATGATTTCTAGTTAATTAATGAGAGCCCTATCAACATCCAAACAGCATTACCTCGTGAACCAACACCATGGTAAAACATGCTTTTGGAGGAGAGGATTTTCTATCGCGATATTCTATCAGTCGGCTATACTTCGAAGAAACATTTGAGAGATCATGCTGGTACCTAAAATAGCTGATTGACCGATAGAAGGCTATCTCGCGAAGGTCGTGTCATAACTGATCTTGATGTATGGGTTTACCGGCCAACCGTAACTAGCGGTTCTCAATGGGAGAGGTAGGCGATAGGGGGGAGTGGGACAAAGTTCGAGGAGTTACTGACTCAGTACTCCAGTGGTTGCACCTTTGTTGCAACTTCGTCGGTTGCACCTCGGTTTCGATGCATTCATTTTACTCATATTGTGACGGTTACTATTGCCTTGCATATCAATCCTGTATTCGGTAATTCACATTGTGCGGTTAAATACGTGCTCAAAATATGTGCAATTATAAGGAAAAGAAACAATACGCCCAATTGAGGTAAGGAGAGATACAACCAACATACAAGGGGACAGGTGTATTCAAAAAAAGGGTTCTGACGGATCACACGTCCATTAATCCGATGCACCAGTATGGTTTTCAGTTGCAAATACAGAAGCGCACAGCCCGTGAGAAAGGCTCCACAACACGGAGAAAAGCCGTTGAGAACACCCACATGCGTTCGCGGCAGTTCATTTTAATTGGCTCTCACAATCGAAGATGTTCCCTACCGAAAAACCACTGGAGGGAAAGAAATTGCAAACTTCCAGGGCCACTACCCGACTTACCTCGCCAAGATAAGTATGAGTAAGGTATAATTAAAGTGCAAGGCTAGGAATAAAGGCCGTTGGTTCTTCAGTTTACTAGTTATTCCGCTCACACAGTCATTCATTAATAGTACGGAGACCATGCAAAAATCTACACACACAAATCCGCCTCATCAAGTATCACAGAACAACAACAGATGCATTCACAACCCGAAAGGAGCAACTAACTTACTTCTTGATGACTAATACTATTACCCTGTGTTCCGCGACGCTCTCGTTTCACGATACTGGAGACAACCTCCTGTTCTTCTTCAGTTAACGTCAGCTGTCCTAGAAAAGCAGCAGCGGCTGCTGCATCCCAAGTTCGCGTCCTTACGATTCGTTTCGTCTTCGTCACCAATTCCGGACTGTTTTCGTCGATTTCAGCCTCCAAAGTTTGCGTTGATGAGTCCATGAGAACACGCGAAACACAATCGATACCCGTGGCGCTATCATCATCTGCTTCGGCTACCCATGAAGGTCGTCGATGTGTGTCAAGGTTTGGTAGTAGTGGTGATAAACTGACATTGTTCTCTTCTAGCTGACGAATCTGTGTGTGAGAAAAAGTGACCAGAATCCACCGCGATAAACAGTGAAGACGGACAAGAGAGCCCACTGGTGGCACGTGCGTACGTAACAACGGAAGTAGGCCAATCAGATGTAGAGTCTGTGTCACTGTGTACTAGCGAATCAGTTTTCGTAGTATATGGCTCAGGAGTAACATGGTTTATGAAGAACGACAAACTTTGTATTGGCTTTACTCAACGATGATGAGCAACCAACAACTTCACAACCTCCGTCACACAGCATGACATCCCAGTTCAGCATGTAGTGTGGATTTATAGCTCATCTAAATCCCACGAGTATGGAGGAGCTCGTACGCGGGTGTTGATGAACGCCACGCGTTCGGTTCCATCTGCTTCGAAAAGGTTGACAAACAGCTATTCTGCAGAGGGAAATTCCCTCAGAGGATCCAGAGGTTTTTCAATAACACCCTCCAAAAGACCTACCTCTGATGGCTTCAGTTTAAGTTCTAATCATTCAACAAACGCACTGACAGTTTAAGCATGTTGGTCCGCTATCGCGTTGGGTATACAAAGTGTATGAGTGGATTACGGCAGTGTGAAAAAATATTCCAAATATGCGCCACTCTGTCCTCCCCACTGCAAATCACCTGTAACGGAGTTTAGTTCGAATCCCATGAATACGTAGAAAAAATGAATTCGTGATTAAAGATACGCAGCTAGGAACAACCTACTACATGCAAGTAATCAAATCTTAAGAGCAAGAACATCAAGTCAGAGAAGGAGAATGGTTCCGCGTCCCGAAGTCAGTTTATGGCATTGATATCAAAGGATATTTGAACTCTGTCACGTAAAGTGAAGTGGAGTGGAACAGTGTACTGTTTGGTTTCGACGGATAACCATGTATGATATAAAGGTCAGGGTGTCTGCACCGAAGATAAAATTTTCACCGGATCCGGGGAGTATATGAAACCACTGAAGATACAAGGCATTTAATCTGGTCAACAGTCGGTGAAGCCTCACGTAATGTAGACTAACCTTCATTAGGTCATTGATTCGGCGAAATCAAAATAATGCACACATGTTTACGACTACGACTATTAAGCTACTCATGAGTAGTTAAATTATTGATCCGTTCTAAATAAACCATCTTCCAGGTCGCTATCGAGGTGCGATCGGATACCAGAAACCATAGCTCGGTTGTGATGAATGCGCACGAAAGACCCCAAATGAAAACCGGCTCCTGTGTCAAAGCCAAGAGGATTCGAACAACAAGCGTTCGGAACGGTGTCCAGCAAGAGTGTACACCAATAAAAACTCTGCTATCGATCAACGAAGCAAGATTACCCGTGAGTCAGTCAAAGGCTTTTAATTGATTGGTTTAGAATCCGAAGAGTGAAAATGCATCAGATGAAGGCTTGTTCGAAACAAAGCGGACATCACAAAGGTAGCAACCTAAGAAGCCCGACGAGAAGGACTTACTCTTGTTTGTGCCTGTAACAACTCCTCTAAAGGGACGAGCTCCACATCCGTCTGGCTTGATGCATCGTTCAAATAAAGCAGCGCAACAGCTGTTTTGACAACCTCCTAAAAGTGACACAGAATAGATTGAAATAGAAGATGAACAGGATCCCCTTGTTAAATCAATTGGGTTCCAGAATTAAAGCTGTCTTGTGAGGTAAATTAGGTCGTGGAACGCAGTACGAAACACTGGAGCAGGTAGCTAGTGCCGTTACAGTATATGCTGCCTGTTGATGGTATAGGCTTCGACTGGATGAGGCTGATGATGCTTCACTGCCGTACAACCATGATTTATTTGAAAGCCTTATTGTAAAGAAAAGAGTAAAAGTGGACGGGGGAGGGACTTAGTGCTAGCTTACCACAATCATTGCGAGGTGCCTATACCTCCAGACATTCACTCCGGCGATCTGGATAGAAACTGACAACAAGAACGCCACTGATATCGGTTGGCAGCCATATCTTGTAGTGTCTCCAACCAGGCACAGTGAGGATCACGGATAGAAACTGACAACAAGAACGCCACTGATATCGGTTGGCAGCCATATCTTGTAGTGTAGTGTCTCAGGCACAGTGAGGATCACGCGGTCTCCATAAACGTGAAATCCATATGAGTCGTTCATCAACAAAACATTTTGAAAATGAGTGCATTTCGTCAACTGGGTACTTCATTCCAGTTTATTGCACGATAAGCACTGACTTCTCATTCCACATTAGTTTTCTAGCTGGAGAGTCAACTTATTCGTGATTTCAGTATTCTGCACGCGGCTTGGTGCCGTGCTGTATCATGTGGGTTCGCACTGTTGGGTTTCACGGGATGAGTCACCACCCAACAATCAAGTGCCTGCTCGTAGAGTTCATAGGGTATCGACCGTAACCGTATCAATCGATGAGCGTTGTCATACTCAACAGTGTGAAATCCACCTGACGCTCCGTAAGATTGTGTTGATTCCGGTGGATGAGGCGCATAGGTGTTGAGTAGTACTCGAATGGAAAAACCTTAGGCTGTAGCACCCTTTCGATGCCTATCTGCGATACCAACGGGCGGGGGCGCAAGGGTTGGGATACTATGAGGTTCTCCAAGGCTACATAGGAGCAGTCAAGATGCTGAGGTTCGGTTGAAACCACGGATCTTCTGGCTGACGCCCTAATGGCTGAACTGTCTCGAGATAAAGTCACCCTCAGACCTACAGTGACCTCAGATGAAGTTGCAGTTGTCCAGGAATGTAGTTGGGGACGAAGAAGGAGGTGAATTGTGCAAAACCTCATGAAGTGAACAGAGAATAGGTAAGTAGCTAGGGTGCAGAGCGAAGCCTAGTGCACAGACCCTTGCTTTTATGAGCCTATCACGTCCTTCGGTTCGGGGTGAACTCAAATGGTTTTCAAGCGGGTATTTTATGAAGAATAACGGTGAACAAATGTACAACAGAAATTCCCTAAGTTGGTATGGTCTCGTGTCAGTGGCTCCGTTTACACGGAAACATTCATTCAAACGTGTTCTAAGGCACGGTGTCCTTTCGAAAAATGTCCAATTGCTCTAATACCATTTGGAAGATCACTCATCACGGTGCCGACTGGTGTGACTGCAGCCACGAGTCAAACAGGCATACCAACCATAACTCCACTTCATGTTTGGATCGCCAGGACAGCGCTCTTCATGTACAGATGTTGGCTTCGTAGCCTTCAAGAGTCTTCAATCTTGTAAAAGGACCGTCTGTATTAACTTGGTACCTTGGCAGCTCAATCTTCCACATTGTAGGCTGAATAAAAAACTCCATTGTAAAAATTGTCGTTCCTCATTCTCATGTCGCTAGGTAGAAGGCAGCTGCGATTAACGCCCAAATTACAAATGATTTTTCGAGGAAATGATCCCACCGAGCAGAAACCTACAAGTGTTTACAAGCGAACACCACCATCAAGATCATTAGTAAAAAGCTGCGTATTTGACGTGCAGTGGTTATAACTGCCAGTTTCATTCACTGATGGTTTGGGGAAGCGGGGTAAATAGCTACGGAGGCGGTAGCTGATGTAGTTGATGCTTCAACACGGGAGTGTCAGTAGATATTTCATTGGGGAGATCTGGGGTGATATGCATTGAGGTAACATCTCGGATGCACGAGCGTGACTTTGATCCGTCCCGTCTCGGGGACCCCATCCAGGGAGACGGCGATGACCAGCGCAACTGAGTTTGTTGGTAACGGATTCCATACTTCATTGCAAATCACTGTTTGACCTCCCTGGAGTCGTTTAAGTTCTTCGTGTGGCTATGCGGAAGGCGCTCTTCGAGGAAGTCGGCCAATTGGCACACTGAGTACGTGACCAGGCCAGCGCAACCTATGGAGTGTGATTAGTTCACCTACTGCGGCCGAGTTATTTGCTTCTAAAACCGCTGAATATTAGGACAGAAATCAAAAGAAGTAGTCGACATGATGGGGTACGACTCTCACGGGGAGAAACTCCTCTCCGAGGAGAAAAGGCTGGAAGAAGAGTTTTACTCAGTTTTATCCAGAGTCAAATAGAAGGGGCTTAGTTGTTCCGAAACTCAGCAGTTGACTAAATAATTTGCTATGGTCTTTGGTTTGTGTGTGACCTAGATGGGGCAGTCATCAGTGATGCGCAAAATATGTTTGTAATGACCCGATTTGGAGGAAGAGACCTATCACCTTATTGGACAAGTATCTCACACAAAGTGCATAGTAATTCTCATAATGAAATTACTGTAGCCCCACGGCCTTTCATCGTAATGGAATTAACGTACGTCCGTTAATTGCGTGCAACATGTGTACACAGTAACTCCAACTCACCTGATTTTCAGTAGATTCTTCTTCCGGTTCTGTCTGACAAAACGAAGACGATGAAGCAACCAGAGACACAGCAGTGTGATCGGATGACTGAAACACAAAAGGATGTGAAGCAGTGACAGAAGAAGGAAGGCTGTTGGTTAATGTAGCAGACTTTGCGCTCAATACCAACAGCTAATTCATAATGCTACACATATTACAAACCTGAGCATCAAAACCCTTCGGTACGCAACAACGGATTCGCCCGTTAGACAAGACAACCACGTCATGAGATGAGCATCAAAGTTGCTGAATCAGGAAATCATGCTATCTCACCTCCTGGTGTGCCAAGGCAGTTCCATTGTCATCACGCCATGTCGGCGATCTAACATCGCCCAGAGTGCAATGACAGAGCTTGCCCCCGGCAGCCATCGGCGTGCAGACTAAGAAGTCCGGGGAGAGCGAGTGAAAATCAAAAACTCCATTATTATTGGTCATGCGAGGAGAGAGGGCCCAACCACGAGAATGGGTTATATCGGACGCCCGTCGGCACATACAGTTGAAACTCCCAAGCAGACTATTTCCTTGTTCCAGACGGGAGACCATTGTGTGCCGGGGCGCTGATTGAGGACGGTGAGTGGCGTCCTGATGCTTCGACTCCGAGGCCTCAATGGAATCTTCGAGCCACAGAGACTTATTGTGATTAACAGAGTCCATGGGATCTTCCGTCATGATCGAGACACCGTTGACCAACTTAGCGGCAAGTAATTCCCCTCTGGAAAACAAACCACATTCAGAAAACCTCAGCTTATGTTCCAAGTTAGTCGGATCTGTGGAAGACTGAAGCCTGTAGGCCGTAATCTACAAAAAATGATCGAGATTGAAAAACTTTCTCCAAAGTGGCCGCTCACCAAAACAGGTGCTAAGGGAGCAACAAGGGACCAAATGAAGATTGCAGATACCGGCCTTTTATTTGTTGCTTTTATCTGAAGTGCAGGCAGAACTTTTATGAGGACAACAAGCCCGAAGTTTTTTGAAAACCACCCAAGGATGACTCGATGTGTTAAGCAGGGTGTTCGATCTATGGCATGAATTCCAAAGGTCACATTACCCTTTTCTACATGGCGTCTTAATGTTGTACCAAGTCACCTTTTGACTTCCACTGAGACGCCTTGGAATTCCTATCGGCCCACTTAATAAAAAGCACCGAGACGCCCTAACCTGAGAAGTGCATCGTCCAGACCGGAAAATATTCGGGTCTACAAGTTTATGCTAAACAATGGCAGTGTAGCGCGCTCTAGGCACGTAAGAATGACACAAAATAGACAACGTGTTGTACACCATAGGAAAGCAGTGCTAGATGACTTGAAGATGCACCAGTTTCATATATTGTTTTCATTTATCCAACGTACTACTGCAAAACACCCAGTATATCCAACCCCCTAAACTGCTTGCTAACTAGAGATTGACAAAATTACCCGACTGTACTCCGTTCAAGCTCGATATAGATCAGTGTTTGGGAGACAGAATTACTGAATAAAAAAGTCCGCGGTTCGCACCCAACCTCGGTAAGTCGACTGTTCCTTTCTAGACTTGAGTGGTATGATGAACTTACACTCAGACCAGTATTGTGGAACAGCAAAGCTTCTCAGCAAGAGAGAATCATGGATAACGGGCAGACTATCCATAAGTGGGAATAGATCTTCACCATCATCAAAGACAGCAACACAACATTTGACACTGGTGCTTCATTGCCGTACAACCATAAGGTTTGTCTAGTTATATACATATATATATAGTATTGAAAGCCCTACAGAGAAGAGAGGAGAAAAAGAGTGGGGAGGAAGGGGACCTAGTGCTGGCCTATATCAAGCATACTGAGGTGCCTACACCTCCAACCGCTCAATCAGACAATCTGGAAAGAAGGTGAC